GGGATTTCTCTGATATGTGGTTTGGGAAAGGGAGGAGGTATGTCGCTGGTGTGGTTTGCTCTTTCTTTCCTATCAACTATCTATCGGCCTTATCTCTCCTCTTTTCTTTATTTGTGTTTGTTACTCTCTCTTGTAACACCTCTACTAAACTTCGGCACTTATATAACCTTATTGTGTTGCAAATGCCGTTGTGAAACGCTTACTAGAACAAACAAATTGTGTTGATTGATATGTGGAGGAGGGGGGGGAGGGGTGCAAAACGTTGTATATAGTGACAATTTTTTTCTTTCCTCTCTCCATCTTGTAGGTGGAGGTGACACTGCCACGTGTGCCAAGAAGTTCAACGCCACGGAGAAGGTGAGCCATGTGAGCACAGGAGGCGGAGCCAGCCTGGAGCTGTTGGAAGGTTAGTGATGAGTCGTGTTGTGTTGAGTACAGTCAAAGATCGTTCATAACAAGATAGTACATACATACATGTTTGTTCACTCAGACACAAAGTGTCTGTGGAAGTCCGCGCATTCGTTCAGATGGTGCTGCAGTCTTTCTTTTGAAGCTCTCTTTCATTTTATCCAGAAGAAGAAAAGGAATAACTCAGTTTGTTAGTTTCGCTTTCATTGTTTTTCACACTAGTAGGGTAACTCTATTTGCAAAGTCCGCTCTTTTTCGAAGAGGGCGCCACTTGGTTTTGAGGACACTTTTTTAATTGGCTTTAAGAGAGGAGTGAACTAGATCTATCTTGTTATGTACGATCTTTGGTACAGTGCAACGTCTCTATAATGACCTTCGATATAACGACATCCTCTGTATAGCAACATGGTGCCCAGGTCCCGATTATTTTTTCTTATGTATTATTAGTAATATTTTTGGTTGCCTCTCTATAACGACAACTCTCAATAACGACATAATTTTTTTTCTGGTTCCGATGGTGTCATTGCAGAGAGGCTGCACTATTTTCGTGTTGATTGGTTTTTTTTTTTAGGGTTTTGTGTTGATTCTATTCTATTGGTTCTTTCAAAAATACGAAAAAAAAGTGATAAAATGTCTACAATTGGTCTTCTTTTCTTTCTTTTAAAAAAATGATCCAGTGACTTTCTCGGTTCTTGTCTTTTGGCCTGTCGGTGTGGCAAAGAATTTAGTTTTGATCAGCTGTGTTTTTTTGTTGCTGTATAAAGAATTTCCGATATCTGGGGAGGCAGGTAAGTAGGTAGGTAGATACTACGCAGGTCACTAAGTGCAGGACAGGTAAAGAGGTGGTGTGATACTGTTTCTTCCTGGCAGTCACACAACGGGCAGTCAGAAAAGCAAAGTGCCTTTCCCAAGGACAAAACGTCGGGTCCCTGACACGGTTTTTTAACCCATGACCTTTAATAATAATACAAAATAGCATTTGTATTGCACATACCACCGCTCAACAGCTAGCTCTATGCTCTTTTCACTATATTATTAGCCCAGCAGATCATAGAACACTCAGAAACATTCTCAGCTTCCCGGGAAGCATAAGCATACCTTTCATTGATGAGTCCAGCAGCCTAACCACTAGACCAGCAGCGATGCCCTCAAAATTTTCCCTTTGCTCCCTGCAGGCAAAATCCTTCCTGGCGTGGCTGCCCTGTCCCCAGCGCCGTGATGGAGGAGGGAAAGGAACCGCCCATTTTTGTCATCGATGCCGCCACGAAAACGCTGCTTCTGTAGTACTCTTGTTGTCTTATTCTTTTGTTACTGAGCTCGTAGATTAGTCCAAATGTGATTATCACTTTTGTCTTATTTATTGTTGTTATTCTTTTGAAAATAATCTCCCTTTTCTCTAGTTGCTAGTTGGCTGTGTCGAATGAATGACTGAGTGAAGAGAGTATATGTGTATATGTATGTGTTGCAGGTTATGATAGCAAAAAAGAACGCATGCCATCAAGACTTATTCAGTCTCTGCACTATTTATTAGGTGTTGGGGGACTGCTTTGTGCTTCTCGATGTCACCAATCGTGAGAACGGGACTAATGGGAATCAACCACTGATATTCCTTAGTCTCTGTGCGTTTTCTTTACCCTTTATTGTTAGGGGAGCCAAAAAAAAGGGTTTGAGTGGGAATGTGGAAAATGGAAAAAGAAGTATTTCTAAACGGGTTTGAGCATGGAAATGTTCACGTCAGTTGGTCCATCAAAATATGAGAACCTAGAAGAAGTGATGATCAGATTTGTGCAAAATATATTTTTCTCTCTTGTGGGTTTTCAAAAAATGCTGATGTGTTTTTGAATGTGTTGTGTATGGGCTGTGTGGATAGTTGAGTTTTGTTTCCTCGCAGACTCGCAATGATTGTAGTTGTAGTGAGCAGAGAACGAGGTCAGCTTTGACACGTTTGCCTTCGTGGGTAGTTAGCTTCCTGACGAGGTAGATCGCTTGCCTTCTGAGCTCAAAGATGCAGAGTTTGTAGGTCACACTGTTTGCGAAAGTGTGTGTCTTGTGTCAGAGAGTGGATACTGTGTTGCATCTAAGGTAGCTTCCTGATCCTGACTAGGTTAGGTAGATCCCTTATCTTCAGTGCTCTAAAATGCAGAGTTTGTAGGTCACACTGTGAAAGTGTGTGTCTTGTGTCAGAGAGTGTGGGGAGCTACTGTTGCAGCATCTAAAGTATGGGAAAGTAAACGCAGAACCAGTAGCGGTACTACTACTATGGCTGTCGCGGACAGGAAGTTGCGACCTTAGTGCTTTCTCGTCGCATCTCCATTTTTTTAAACAGTGAAAACAGTTCATATCAAAGAGTAAGCGTAAGAAGCAGTCAGTCACATTTTCAATGTTAAAGAAAAATGGAGATACGACAAGAAAGAACTAAGGTTGTGAAGTGTGAGGGCCGCAGAGACTATAGCTCTCGCCCCTCGTTTGGTGCGCAGGCAGTGCTTTATTGTACTTTATAGATAGAAACCACAAGTCATGTTGGTCCATCATTCCATGTATTAGTCTCTTTGGATTGAATAGATTTTACTAGATTTTTTAAAGATTGAATATCGCCACAACAGGCAAATCAGAAGGGGTTTTTTCCCCCTCACTTTTCTGACATTGCTGTCTCTGCAGACAGCATCAGCTCAAGTCTAGCAGAGTTTTCCTGTCTATTTTTTGTGACACACCCCACCTGTCTATTCGGGGCTCGCTCATTGCCCTGTAGGATTAAGACAAGATGTGGGGGTGTATATATACATATACGTACGACATACTTACATACGTGCTCTCTCTGAGAATAAATCTCAATTGACTCCCCATGTTGTTCTCTCCTGCTTTTTTTAAATTTTGACGTTTTGTTTTTGTTATGTTGTTGTTTTTGCAGTTGGCTATTAGTTTGAGTTTGTTTGAGTAAGAAGGAGCACTTCGATAGTGGGTGGTTGATGGGTGCTCTGATGTGGTTTGCTTCTTCTTTCCTATCAAAACATCTATCGTCTTTTCTCCCCTCCATCTTTTTCGTGTTTGTTACTCTCTTGTAACACTTCTAATCTTCAGCACTTATATGACCTTACTGGGCTGCAAGTGCCGTAAAACTTGTACTAAACCTAGCACATCGATACAACCACGATGGTGATTTAGTGCTAGGACAAAGTTAGACTAACAGACAGAAACAACAGCAAGAGGGAAAGTAAAGAAGTAGGACCAGTGGCTCCCTGCAACCGCCCACATGGATTTGATTAACATGCTAAAGTGCATGCTCTCTGCTCAGAACTTTCCTCCTCTGGGGAAAGTTGGCGGGTGCTCTGGTGTGGTTTGCTTCTTCTTTCCTATCAAACATCTATAAACGTCTATTTTCCTTATCTCTCCTCCTATTTTGTGATTTATAGGTCCCAGCGGTTAAGTTGAACTTTGGATGAGTTGATGGTCCCTTTTTCCTTCCCCCAAGGACATCAGCTCATCCGTAGTCGATTGTATAAATAAATAGATAAAACTAAATAACTGGAATTTTTACAGCACCTATCCCCGATCAACAGCAAGCCTTTATGAGCTTTACCATCTATATAATGTGAGGCATCGTGGTGAAGTCCGGCGTACGTTAAAAATAATGAGATAAAAGAAAACGATATTTTTCTGCCCGTTTGGCAATTTTTATCGATTTTTTCCCCGTTAGGCTCAACATCTTTTATGTCCATTTATAAACACATGTTCTATTTTGGATTTTACTGAAAAACATTGATCAAAATCGAAGAAAGAAAAATTATAAATGTGCAGGTTCCAAAAACTCTCAAAACTAAGGAAGTCACTAGTCACTAAACTTTGACAGCCAGCCTTTTTCTCGCTAATTTTACCTGCGCCACCAGGCTACCCCCACCTACAATTATAATTATAATAAATATCTCGACTTATTTTCAAGATAGGTAGATATTCTTTTCATCTAAACAAGACAAATGAACAAGCTTTAAGATAATACAAATCACCCCACATGCCCCAAAAGTGACGAGCGCCTGGTTCCACCATGTAGTGACATATATATTATATACAATGTATAATTACCCAAGCAGAAGACGAACCCCAGCCATCAAGAACAGGCATGCCCTCCCCTCCCCACCCCACCCCTTTCCCCATTTCAATCAATCACCCAGAAACACCCAGAAACATCCTCAGCTTCCCGGAAAGCATACGTACAGAATGCTGCCAAGGATTTGATAATCCGCAAAGAAAAAGAATCTCTACTAAGGCTGCAAAAGATGCAATAAATATATTACATTGTAGTTGCAGTGTGGTACAACCGCGTGGAATCGGGAGGAGAGTCTCGGAAATCGGTGTATACATGTACAGAAAAATGAGAAGACATGGAATAACATCAAGAGAAGTTGTGAAATGGTATGTGTTTGGCGCCCTTATCAACACTGTTACTGTTAGGTTATTTAAGAGACGGGACCTCTGAGTTTAACGTTCATCTCCGAAAGGACCGATCCAAATGGGAAATTCGTGTAAAGTTCCTTTCTCAAGAAGGCTCGAACCCTCGCACCTGCAATCTCACGATTACAGAGTCCGGTAGCCTAACCACAAGACTAGACTACCGAGAGGATAGCCCAAGATAGGGGAAGATGGAAAATGTTCGTTCGTGGCCTCTACCCTGATCCAGGGCGAGAAAGGCAATGATGATGATGGTACAAGTACATGTAGTTGATCCAGGACTACTGTAGTCTGACTGACCATAGTCAGCTGCGCCACTATCTCCGTGTGACCACCATAACCTCTCTGCC